GCAACACCCCTGTGGTCGTTTACGACTCTTTGAATTGCTCAAAGAACTGACTGACCCACAAACTAAGGCAGTTTTAAAGTTGCCAAGTGTTTCAGTTTAAATTAAATTAGCACTCATGATGTTTTCCATGCATGAAATTATTTCAAGGTGCTCTAAGTAACTTTTTTAATGGAATCCACTCACTAACAGATATCCCTGAAATAGGTTTCTTTTTGATGACACTGGTTTTGTAAACAGAAAAAAGCTAGGGGGATTGGGATTACTTTTTATCAAGTTATTTAGAAAGCCACAGAAACACTGCTTGTCTATCATTTATTTGTGTGTGTGTTCAGGGTTCCCCTTTATCTCAATGGCGGTTTCTCGACTGGCGCAGGACTGAAATTTTCTGTCTTTGCTCATGAACCACATAATTTTTAGAGTCTGCATTGATAATGTCATGACAACACTGATTATCTGATGTAACTATCAGCCAGTTAGTTACGTTTCTAAACATGATGTTCACGGAGTGGTGAAAAGACCTCTTGTGTCTCCTTTTAAACAGCAGGCTTTACCCACTCTGTATTCCACTCACTTTCCCACTCTTTCTATCACCGTTCTTTAATGTTTGTTTATCCTGAGGCTTGGAGAATAATTTCATTAGCTACACTGACTCTCAAGGGGCTTTGTTACTGCAGTGCAATGTCTTCATACGTGAGATGACGTCACAGGCGTCCTTGACAGATGTTTAGCTGTGTTATCAATGCTGTATAATTAACTTAATTAATAGATCTACTTGAATCTAATAGAAATAATTCGATCTAAATTTACTCATAGCAAAATCTGTTGCATTCAAATGAAGTTCTGCAGATAGATTTAACACATTTTGTTGGAAATTTGAGCTAAATGCAGATATTGTGTAAACTAAAAGCCACATTCTCAGTAAAGCTGCAATGTCATTTCTGCACCACTTGTGTCACCAAATGGAATTGCAAAAATAATGACTGTTTTCAAACAGTTTTACCAAATCAACCCCTTAATTTACAGGGGTAAGACTCCTGACATCACTTTCAATAATGTCTTCATTTGTATAGCATACTATAGTCAATAGATCTTTTATAGTCAGTAATGTACATAAAATCATGTCCTTTGTTTAAGAGGTAAAGGACATCTGCTGTAAATTTATGCGGTTTGTCTTGCCAAGTCCATGTGATTTCTCACCTCACACTGCCACTAATAAAACATCCACTGCCCAGCGAACAACTCAATCTAGTCCTCTTGCGCCAAGTTAAATTCATATGGTGAAAATTAACTACCATGCACACTTGGAGATGTGTTTAAACATGCAGAGCCCTTAAATAAATGGCCTGGTCAGCTATCTCTGGCCCACGGCGCATCAGGCCCCTGCGGAAGTCATAGAGGACGCAGCCGTTTAAAGACAAGCGCCAAGCATGTGCTGCCTGCCATGGGGGATCTGCTTTGGCAGTCTTGGCAAAGGCTTTCATTAAACTTATTGAATGATGCGGTTCCAAAAACAGGCCCCATGAACAGCACGATCCAGATGAACCCATTCACCCAGACCTGCACTCTCTAAGACACCAAAGTGATCCTGTGCATGTCAAAACATGAACATGAATGGTGAACCAACCATATACATTTATGACCTCAATTTATGATGCAAACAACCTTATCAGCAATGATTAGATTGATAGACAACAATTTGCTTTTTAATGGGAATCACTTTTCCCACTGTCAAGCTTTAATGACCTTGAACTTTATATAGTTTTATTCCAAGTAACTCAATACAACATTTGCTAAATAACTGCATCCACATTACTGTCCTCAATTTATACGTGATGTTAACCAATTGCTCCTTATTGTAAATTCTTACTGGTTGTTTTATGCAGATTGAAATGCAACACAAATAACCACATACAGCTTTCCATTTTGTTTTTAATAGTTCTTGTTCACTAGCTCTTATCTAGTTGGATGCAGATACTCGAGTATTTTTGATGAGCAGTTGTGAGTTTCATCCACATTTGGTGGCTCTCATTTAAAAAAAAAATCTGAAGAAATTAAAATTGAAAGAGGAACAGCTACTTTTAGAAACATATGCAACTCTTTTACTGGTTATTGCTGATGAGAGGTCTTCTGGTTACAGATTTGACACTGTCGTAATCTCCAAGAATTGATACCGACTGCTGAGGTGGTAATTTGTGGCACTGCTGTGCTTGCAGTCAAATATAGAAAGTTACATGGACACATTGGCACAGTGCAAAATCTCACTATGCACAAAAAAAAGGTGCTGGTCCCTCTGAAAGATAAAGATTGCACGGTGCAGTACTCTGTGAACAGGTGTTGTTCCAGCACGCGGGTGCATGTCACTCAGAGGAGGAGCTGCAGAGGAGGAGCTCAAACTATTGATTACAAACAGCAGATCGAAAACAGACCAGTGGTGAAAGCTTCATGATGGCCTTAGATAGGCAATAATCTGTAGGAGTAAGTGTATAAACATGCACACTTGCTTTGGTAGAGATCATATGACATTGAGCATGTGCACAGGATTGACACCTCATTGTAAGTGATTTGGAGCGTGTGCCTGAGTGACCATAATGGTGGCCTTCCAGTTTTAAAGGGAGGACTGATACTGAAGTAGCAACTGTGGCTGTAAGCCTAACATTTCACTAGAAATCTGATAGGCAGATGAATGACCTCGGCATAGGAGAGCTGTCTGTAAATGTACTGCAGCTGTTGATACGTTTCTTTCTTACAGTCACATTCAAACCAAAGGAATTGCACTTGTTTCATCAGATGCTTACAATGTTTGTTTAATAGAGAAATAAGGCACTGGAGGGCCTTCGTTACATTGATTTTACCTTAGGTTTTAGATCTAGGTTGTTGGATTTATCAAATGCAATAGGAATATGATCACATAATAATCATTTCACAAAGTAATGCAGAGAGTTTGTGTCTTGTGGTCCATTTTTATAAGATAAGATCTGCTGTAGTTTGGTTATCTGTTACAAAGTAGTTTATGTTCTTCCCACAGAACGATTTTGTTTTGTTTTGATACTTTGTGCTTCCTTATGGGCATCATTTCTACATAAACTTTTAACTTGACCTGAGGACTGTTACCCTTTCTGTTTGTTTCAAGTGAACTTTCAGGTAGCTTATCAAATTATTGAGGCAAGCTGCCGTTTGCGTCAGAAGTAACAAGCATGGATAATCGTCTCTTGGATTGTGTCCTAAATAAGGGCTTATTCAAGGCTGTCCAATGTTTATAAGGGTGCAGAGGCAGTTTTTCTGACAGCTGAACATCTCTTAAAATTATCAGAAGATATTGGTAAATGAATTTGCTTATGAAAGAATTGAAAAAAGTAAGAACAGGTTTGTTCAATGTCTGTTATCAAAATTTACTTTTCCCTAAAGTAACTGTTAATAGTTCATGAACTAAAATGGACAATACTTCTAAATAGTAATTTCTAGACATACCAATACAAGTTGTATAAATTAACATTAATATATTATAAATGAACAATGAACAATATAAATTAACCTAGATTAAAATGATACTTAATGCATTAACTATGTTACAGTAAAATGTTACCAATTACTAGAAACTAATCTGCAATATAGACCATTTAGAGATAATCTTGGGTAGTTTCGGTCCAGTAACATGGTCCTTAACATATGAAATCAGAGACTAGTTAATGTGTAAAACGTAAGACAAACGCCTCAACTGAAAAACACGTACGTCTCAAGCACAACAGAGAGTCTCATGCACATTGTGGCAGTGACATGCACTCCTGATTTTTTGAATCACAATATAACGCTTGTGGTTTGCCATGAAAGGGCTTTTTATGCCCTCTAGTGGAAAATACATTCGAGTACATGTTGGCTTACAGGTTTATTTGGAGACACGCGTTTCCCCTGGTCATACTTTCAAACAGGAGTAGACTTACTATATTTGCTTATAGAGTTCCTGAGAAAGTTTTATTATTATACCAATTTACAATACTCTGACAATTTTTGTAATGACAAATTTGGTAGTTTGGTCAGTGTGTTCAACATGGGGCCCATCCTGCTGTTATTCCCTGTAGGAATGAGAGGAATGTCTGTCAGTTAGAGAGAAAAAGGTCAGGCAGTGCTGGGACAAGGCTGTGGGGGGAATGCAACCATGGGTAATGCCTGACCAGATAATCGAAGCGTGAAACCAGGGAGCTGTTACACCCATACACAAGCACAGCAGGGGGAACAGGACCTGAGAAACACTGAGGCCACATGCGCACACACACATGCGCGCACAGCAACGAAGCTAAGCCTGGGCCGCTGAAGACCCATGTTGTGACATGTTTGCTTACTGCTGGAAAAAGTGATTGTTACACATGTCCCAGGCTTAAGCACTCTAAAGCAAAGTTGCAAAGCACTTCTGTCATCCTCAATATCAAAGTCCCATTCCTTCTGAAACCTCAGAGCCACTCTGTTTCATGTACTATGACTGAAGAATGCGAAAATTCTGCTCTGACTTCATTGGTGAAACAGCAGTGGTGATCACGTGCATGCTTTGCAATTTTTGAATTGTGTGTGTGTCTTAGATGTTTGGTACCTTTAAGAAAATCCCAAATGCTAAATTGATCTAAAATCCTAAACTTTACAGTCAGCAACTTCATTCATTATTCACAACTGTACTTGTAGATAACGCTATATCATCAGACCCCTGGTATCCAGTCCTTTTGGGAATTTGTGATTCGCCGTACATGTAGCGTAGGCAAATCAATGATTAACCACAATACTGCCTCTTACACTTTTAATTAAGTGTGCTTCAAATTACTTTTAACAGCAATGATTAGTTGGAAATATAATTAATGAGCATTTTTTATTGACACTTTTATTGACATGTTGTTATTGACGTGAGTTTTGTCAGTCTAGGCAGTGTAAATCTGCAAATTTCCAATTAAAACATTATCATTATTGTCATTGGCATGAACAACAAGGGAAATGACAACAATATATAAAAAAAACAATTTAGCTTGAATGTTTTTATTTATGAAAGATACCACAGTGCTGAGTCACAAACTGATGCTGGTCATGGGACCATTGTTTTGGATTTAGCAATAAATGTGAACAAGTTAAGTTCCCGTGTCCCTTTAAACATTATGAAATGCACAATAAGACTTCATTCTCAGAATTTAGAAGTTATCACTGAAAGATAATCATTAGAAATAACTTATAACAACAGTACCAGGATAAAATGAAAATTTTAGAATCATGATATCATTCTGGTTAGAATTGACTTTTAAATGTCATGGAAGCTTTATATGTATATAATCAGAGGGTTGGGCTGAGGGCAATTGTAACACACAAAATGTATTCAATTTATATGTAGGCTAAAGCAATGACACTTGCAACATTTCCTCAGTAAAGTTCTCTTTATGCCTTAGAAAAATTGCAATAGATTCCCTGCCTGAGAAATTTTAATTTATTTTAGTCACTATACAATATTTACTCATGCCAATGAGGTTGAGGGCAATGGTAATGAAAAAATAAAATAAAAACATTGCATTGCATTGTACCACTTTTGCTTTAAACACAAATTCCTGACAGATTACCATATGAATTTGATACCAGTACTGAAAGATGTTAAGTATATAATTAGTCCTAACCAATGCTAAAATTCCAATAAGTTATTTATTACAGCCTAATCTTTTTTCATAGGTCTTTTATAGCAAATGCACATGTACACACATTCTTATACCAAAAGATGGCAAATCTGTAGTCGGCTATGATGGACAATAAAAAATTGCCCCCTGCCCCATATCTCGCATTATTTAGCTCAACTGAGGAAATTGTATTGATTTTAAAAAGAAAAGAAAGGCCATGAAAAGTGGGGAGAAGAAAAATGATTACATTTCTCCTCAGTAAGACAGAATTATGATTCATAACATTCCAGGGATCTTAACACCCAGGAATTACTTTATAAAGCTCCTTGGAGGCACTTCCTGTACCTGTGAACCAGTGTAACCCTCATGTTTCAATGTTTTTCATGTTTTAGAGCTTCCATAGGAAAAAAAAAAAAGAAAGAAAGATGATTGGTGATACAGCGATAACTTGAGCTTTGGACAGTAGAGGGTTATGACCATGAGTCCAATAATCACTGAAAATCAGAAAAAGTGTCAAGAGATTGGACAGACTGTTTTGCTTCATTGTCTCGTAACGTGAATTTGTGATCTTGGTGAACCGTCTGTGATCCTTTGTGCACAGAGCAATATTAGCTTTTGAGTTCCTTTGTTTAGCTTGTTGGTTCACTCTGCAGCCATCTTGGTTTGCCTTTCAAGCCGCATGCCTCATCTCTGTGCGACACAGGCGTTTTGGAGAAGGTGTCGGGCAGGTCATGGTGATTTTGGGAAGCTTCTGTCCTTGGGAATTGCAGAGATCCATGGTGCACTCCATCAGGGAACTGTATGGGCCCCTATGTGCAGGCAACAGATCTACCTGGTCCTGGTGACAAGAAATGTGGATCTGTGGCAGAGCTTCACGATAAGGCAGTGGCGAGTGTAGGATTTGGCGGCAGAGATGCTCCTGGAACTCAGAAAATGGCTCCAGCAGGTGTGCTGTCAGTGGGCAGTCAAACTCTCCTCTGTTTGGTGCTTTTTTCAGCACAGACCTCAGGGGCTGGCACGCTCTGTCAGTTTGCCTCATCTGTTGCATGGTGTCAGGACTGATAGGGTACACTGCCTGCACTACAGGACTTTGGAAAGTAAGTCGAGATCTCGGGGACACTCCAGAGGCTTTGGCAGGAAGCAAGCAGGGCCCATTTCCTTGAACAGTGTGCACCTTGACAGACAGAGACGTCTGCCCGACAGGGACAATTTTTGGATGCATCAATGCATGAGCAGGTTTAGCTGAAAGGAATTCCATTTTGTCCGGCCTTTTTCATAAGAGAATGAGAATAATTAGATGTTGAAATACTATATGTACTAGCTATGCATAAAACTAAGCATGCACACTTTGAGTAACCAGGTGCTTGCTTAGGCTAGGGTTATTGGTTCGTTAACTTTGCTGCATAACTTTAAGTATGTTGCATGTATTCATTTTTTTTTTGGTGCTACAAACAACAATGATATCTTAAATTGCAACACATTCACATTCACGACTATGGGTACACTGCAAAAAGTTCCACTACAGGAAAGGTTATCAGGTTTTCAATCACATTAAGATTCAATTACCATTTCTGTTACTAATCGCATTCATCAGTGATGGTCCTGGCAAGCAGAAACTTATCTGAAACTAATTCCAAGTGGAGACAAATCTAATCTTTGTCTTTTATCTTGGCAAAAATCTAGACATTTAAACATAGCCTACTCTCTGTACTACAACCAGACCTGACTGTGTAGCTGTTTGCACTGTGTAATTCCACTCTATTGGGACACTTTAATTTCAGTTTATTAGCCCAGCTGTGGGGGCTGATAGTAATTGAATAGAAACCTACATGCCCTCTCTCTGCCTCTCAGTTCTCAGCACTGATCTCCACGTTCTCTCCCTCGCACCTCACAGCCTCAAATAAACGAGGAAAGCAGAAAAATACTTGCCCACGTGATGCCGAGACTAACCAGGCTTTAAATCATTAATAAGCTGAAAATGACTCTGCATATATCTGCCGGGCGAAAATAAGAACATATACTTTCTGTTTACTTTTTCTGTCCTTCTCAGAAATATACTTCAAATTGCACTTAAGTGTACTTGACTTGTCTTCTATTGAGAGAAAATTCCAAGTGTATTTGTCCTGTAGGCTGATTGATCGAGATATACTTAAAAGTATAATTTAATGAGTAAAAGTATTCTTGCCTTGTACTTGTGTTTACTATTTTGATTGAATATCTTTTTAAATACTTTTTTTAAAAATATATACTGTCTAATAGACTACATAAAATGAATTTGAAGTATACTTCTTTTTCGTATGGGATGCCTTCTGCCTACACTGACAAGTTTGAAATAATTGTACTTTCCTCTACCCTAAAAGCGAATGGCACTGAATTCTGCGAGTCCTGAGAGTCCTGCTCTTATTGTCAGGTTTTAGATGGCCATTCAATAGGTGGGTGATTTGATATTTGAGAAAGTTAACAGTGGCATGACTTTTATGAAGCAAGATACAATGTACATTAAATGTACTTGCAAAGGGTGGTTGTTAATAGAAAAAGGGAGGCAATACCTGCATCCAGACCTACAAGGAGGTCTCGGGGGGTCTGTTTCCTTCCAATTATTTCTGGATTTGGTGATTGGTGGGAGTTTGGAGACAGTTTTGAATCCAGTGCCTTTCACAATCAAACTGCACCTGGTAAATCATATGTTTCAGCAATGAACATATTATGCCACTGAATAACAATTGACCATTGGTAAACAATTAGTGCTGTACGAAGTCTGTATTAAGGGAATAGTTCAGATTTGAGGATGATTAAATGACAACATTTTCATTTTTGTGTGAATTATTCCTTTAAAACATGGTGCTTACAAAGTTGCACTTATATCGCTTATGGCTCTCGCAACTTTTCCAGAGCACTTCCCCTCGGTTGAATCTCCGCCACCATTTTGAAATGCGTTCAACTTTGTCAAAGTGGACGAGGAAAGTTTATTTGGGCAGACTCTCGACCCCTTGATTTTGACAGAGGGAGTCAACTCGTATGTGCACTTCAGGTAGATCCATAGAACACAAAGCAACACGATTGTAACGTCGTAAGAGCAACTAGCAGAGGTTAATTTACCCACAAGTGTTCAAGGGCTTAGGGGTGTCCAAACCCCTCCTGGAGGGCCACTGTTCTCCAGAGTTTAACTCCAACTTGCCTCAACACACCTGCCTGGAAGTTTCTTATGCACCAGTAAGATCTTGATTAGCTGGTTCAGGTGTGTTAAACTGGAATTGGAGCTAAACTCTGCAGGATAGTCGCCCTCCAGGAGCAGGATTGGACACCCCTGGCTCAGGATGTTCTATTTAAACCTATTACAAGGGTTCTTCCAGTAGTGGGCACTCTTGCAATGTAAGCAAGGCTGTACATCCAAGTGAACGAGACAAAAAAGTGGACCAAAACACAGCCCTGGAATGATCTGTATGCAGTACCTGGTACTTATGAGAGGGGGTAAACTGAGGCGACTCTCAGCATGCCTGTATGACCTCTTGTCTCTGGGTGGGAGGGTTAATCTAGTCATCACCGCTGGCAAGCTCTTGTGACTCCGAACATCATCATCATCATCTTCATCCCTGAGTGTCCCTCTTACACCAGGGAGATGGGGAAGGTTGGCTGTCACATCCTGTAAAACAAGCAGGGTTGGTGCATACCTACATGGGAGGTTCTAGCTGCCATTAGCCAATTAATCATTAATGCAAAATAAACAGGTTGATTAGGATCAGGGGTGTATTTTGCAACTGTATATTATCCCACTTGTTGCTCCTACTTTCAAAATAAATAGATGTAAGTTGAAATCGCTTTATTATAGGAGAAAACATAGTGAGGAGTGATACGAGTTACTAATGTAGTACATTGGCAGTGGTCTTAATAATTCTGCAGTGTTTACCGCATGTTGCAGGAATGAGACCGGTTCTGAGAAATATGATGGTACAGGTGAAACATCACGAAAAGGGGACTGGCTTCTGTGTTTCCTAATTTTGTTGGAGGGCCTGTTGACAGAGCAAGTGATTTGGATATATCAATGCATAATAAGAGATAGCCTACAAATAAGACTAATACATTTACACTGAAAGTAATAGGAAGTTACATTACAAGAGTTACTCTTGAAGATTAACCTCAAACATGCATGATGTTTAAAGCTGTAAATGTTTTTTGTCTGTTTGTTTGTTTTATAGTCATATACATGTATTAAATAGATATATGTATATATTACCAGTCTCCTTTGCCAGAAAAGCCCATCTTGATTCTTATTTACCCTTAAAAGAACAAGTTGTTAGAACACAAGCACAAATCACAAACCAAATTAACTTTAATCAATATAACCAAACCTCTCCCTTCTATAAAAAATTGTTTAATTAGAGATATTCTTGAGCAATGATTTGGCTTTTATCTTTACCAAGAGGATTTCAAAAATTCCATTAGTCTTCAAGAAGTCCATTAACATATAAATAGGTGTTTCATTGCATAAATTCAATGCATGTGCACTGAAAATATATTTCAGCCACAATGCAGATAATTCATCTACTGATACATCAGGATTGTTTTAGATCAATTTCATGCTTTAAGACATTAATCAAACACAAAATCTGCCATGAAAAATAAAGCATGTTACCAGCCCATTTCCCTCTCCATTAACCTTATATTTTCTTTTTCTCCATTTGAAATTTTTCAGTGCCAGATTAAAGATTAAGCATGGAAACTAAAGAAATTAGTGTTTTCTGACATTGCAGGCAACAACAAATAAAACAATATAATAATGTAATGAAATATGCACTGTTTAGCACAGCTTTGAAACATTGGCATTTTCACCTTTCAATTCTGAGAACAAAACATTTCATTGAATATAACTTCTTGAAGTGCAACAATAGTATAGACTGACAAATATCCTGTTTTGGCATCAGTAATATTTGGGAAAACTTCAGATAATGATAAAACTTACCATGGGAATGCAGAATATCAATAAGAACGCTCAGTGGAAAGGCTCGCCACCGCCTCACACTGAGGACAATTCAAAGCACTGCAAGTCAGGACATTACCATGACCACCTTAACAGACCAGTCAAAATCCAAGACAACAAAATTCTCCGCTGTTGATTGGGTGGCTGTGTCCCAGAACCCTAAACAGAGTTGAGAACAACTCTGAAATGATTTGTAAAGGGTCATTTATATCAGAACAGAAGCCAACAAAGAGTGATGACTCTTTAAATAGAAATAATGAAATAATAAAGATAATTTTATGTTAACATTATATAATACAGTAAAAGAGCCACCCTAACTTATCTTTTGAAGTTGGTTACCTGGCCACAAAATGAGCTCACATCATTTCATCCAATCTAAACCAACAATATAGTTCATGATCACGTTCCAGTTCAGAGAAACTAAATACAGACATTTGTCAGTGCATAGACTCTGGCATGTAGCTAGTGTAAGTGTCATTAGTGGGATGATATGAGTTATATTCCCCTGTAGGGGGTGAGGTCTCCTTGCATTGTTTAAATCCGGCTTAGAGGTGAAACATTAAGCTTCAGGCTTTAAAGCAGCTGCTCAGCGGGCCATGGAGGATCTGTCTGCAGTAGGGAATCATTAATCTGCAGTGTGCTTTTTACAGCCTCCTGCTGCGTTCTCCCATAGGGCAGTGCAGATAAACACTCCGTCATCATTATAAAACACATTTCATCTGTAATGATGATTAGCCCATTTTTTGGCTTTCTAGCAATGATCACATATATATAGTTTGGTAGGGAGGTCTGTGCTATAGGCTTCCTGTAGTCTATTGTAAGTGAGAAAGCTTTTTAGACAAAACATTTGTTTGAAACTTTCTGTGACATCTATCTGTTTTGACAGCTGGAAAATGTCTAAAATTAGTGTGAACACCTTGCAAGGCTACATCTGTCCTGATGAGCGAACGATCACGTCTGTGCATTAGCCCTCACACCTCTGATGCAAATCAGGCCACTGTAAATTGGGCTTTAATAGCATTTGCGTGACTCATTAGCGTGCAAATTGGAAGTGGGTTCATTTAAGCGATGACAAACTGCTAATGTACTTTCATGCTTCCAGCGGTCTAGAAGCAGATCAAAACCCTGTTTAGAACTCTTCTGCCCCCATATTAGCCTGTTTGTGTCCTCTGTGGCATGTTGACATGATGATATTATAAAGTTTTTGTTAGCTTATAAAAATAAATTGCCATGGCTTGTTCACCATGGATGGGTTGAGTTGATGACCTTTGCAGTGTTGCTTTGTTTTTCTAATGATCAACAAAGACTGACTGAGGACAGACGTCAGAGCTGACCGGGTCTTCACATTATCGTTAATCATAAAATATTTGTGTGAGTGAATTCCAGCATGCTTCCAAGTTATACTTTGAATGATGAAAGCAAAGTTAACCTAATCGGAACTGATCACCACAATATTGGCAGGAACACAAATCAAAACGAAATAGAGTAAATTTTTATTTCACGTTAACTTTACAATTACTCGCTTAAAAAATCAAAGTGAAAATTCTAAGCCGTTTGATACAAGATGATGAAATCTTGGTAACCTTGAAGGTGTGCTCAATGTGACCAAGTGCCACAGTGTTGCACAGGCAGACTTTTAACTTGCAGCGCAATATCAGCACCATCCTGCAGATCACGCTGGCCAACAAATTCAAATAGTGCAGCAGTCTCCATGAACAGCTGTATATAAAAACGAAAAATAATGGAAAACGTGAATGGACTTTATATTTGTTCTTAAGTATTGATTAATTCAGACTTGAATTAAATAGATACTATGGGTCTAAAAACAAAAATGTGATGCTACTAACCTTTTAATCAAATCCAGAGTAGTTCTTCCTCAAAAGTGCTATTCAAAAACAAAATCTGTGTGCCTTCATTTCCTGAAGTCAAATTAAGTCAGCCAAGCAGATTGGAACTGGCAATTTTAGCCAGTTTTTAACATTTTTGTGAGCAATATGCATCAGCCATTATGATGGTTCTAACTGTAGTAGAAGGACCATAAAATGACATTTGGATGCAGGCAGCAATGAGCCTTTTATTGATTTCTTATGGAGGAACATTGCCGTACTGTCACACTTCAATGAATGTCAACGCTGTGCATACATGACTACACAAATAAACCTAGATTGTGCATTATACACACTGTGATTTCCAGGGTATCAATTCAAACTTCAGTCACCCGTTAATCAGCTATATGGTGAGATGTATGATGGTGTTCATTTGCCCAGCTTACAGATAGAGACCTTACTCAAGAGAGACCTGCACATTAAACAGTACTCAGAGTATTGCGGGAAGTTAAACTAGCTCTATTTTTAAAAATAATAATAATAATATATTCCCACCAACTTTACAGGTGAGTCCAAACAAGGCAGCATCTTAATAGTGGATCTAAACAGCGAGAGCAACACCCTTATGGTTTCAGAATACAGTTGAGCACCTGATAAAATATTCTCCACTCATTTTATTCACAATATGTGCGTTCCATACAGGGCAATATTTTCTCATAACAATGTTCAATGTCATATTTTACCCCTCTTTATGCTGGAGCCAAACAAAACTGTCATCAAATAGAAAAAGAAAAATTGCAAATCGTGCGTAGCTGAATTCTCATTCTCTGGATGTGTGACATGCTTATGAATCGCAATTCTGCGGACAGTGGGAATGTAATGAACTGCAATGAAAGAATAATAAGCAACCACTCATCCAATGAAACACCCCAACTATGCCACACCTCTTTAGGATAATATTTCTAAGACTTATCTCGCTCTGTACTTAAGCGGTCAACAGTAAAGAGATGACATTCAAATCGTACAAAAACCTAATAAAACTTGTCTGATAAGAAACATGACAGAAAAAAAATATGGTTCTGAAACGATTTAAATTCACTGAGTACTATCGTTTACCCCTGTAGATCCCGATTGAGTCGTCGGCAGCCTAGAATGTAAAGAACAAATATCCCATGGTAACACAAATACTGTGGTCAAATCATTTTCAGGTGACAGAGTCTCAGAAATTATGAAAACGACCAGAAAAAAATTAGTAAGAAATGGTGGGGGAGGAATGGAGAACAATGAACAATTGAGGCAATTTCCTGTTGTTTATAAAAAAAAAATGTGGAAATAAGCTTTGAAGCTTAGTATGATGAATGTCTGTCCTTTCATTAGTTTTTTTTTTTTTTCTTTTCTTAATTTTAGATTTTTGTTTTCCTCCTATTTTTGATTCAGTGCAATGCATGGAACAATACAAGGGTCCCCCAGGGTTGGTTTTCTTTGTGGATTTTTGGAGTGGGCACATTGTTGTGGTCATTTAACTGGTGTCCATGGATTCCATATTAGCGCTGGTGGAGTCCCTCTGGATGCTGTCAAAGATGGCGGCCAGCTCAGGGTTGGAGCTGATTTGAGACTGGAACTCACTCATTAGGGGGCTCTTCTCTGCCTCTGGGATGGTTAGCAAGGCCACTACGGCCCGCATGGCAGATCGTTTGAGCTCATCCTGCTTCTCAAACTCCTGCTTTACAGAGTTGGCTTTTACCTAGGAAAGAAAAGATGTTATGACCAATTAATTGCCATGACTGTTTCATGACTTTCCAGTTGTTTGTGATTACTGAGAAACATGGAGAAAGAGGGGAATTGGTGAGAAGGGGGAACAGGATCTGTAAATATTGCAAACCGTTTTCAAATTTTCGCTCCCCTAAGAAAACCCACAGATGTCTCAGATTTCCTCTTTTTTCAAAATATACAGAAAATACTTTGTCTTATATCCATGTTTTCATTTTATCGTTTGATGAATATCTTGCAAACCTTTGTGGTGCATGTTGCCCTGAGGGGCTCCACAAGTCTGTCCAACCTCTGTAACACTGCACTGGGACACAAACTAGATAATCTGGCCAGCATGAGGAACGTCAGCATCTGTAAGGACATTCATAGAGCAAAAAAGACCATTAGGAATTATAAACCTTCATTGTGATTAATGAGCCTATGCACATATTTTGGTCTCACTGTATCTTTGAAGTCCCTAGTAACTATCAAAACACATGGCTTGATAGGTAAATGCATAACTTGATAACTTCTGTTTAAAGAGTGTAGATAAACAATTTAAACCGAAACTACAACATTTTCTATTACAAAGCACTTCTACTTCATTATGATGAAAGTACAGCTGGTAATAAGTACATTTAAAATAAAGTTGGATTACGTTTGTTGTCACTGAATTATGCATTTATGCCTTTGATGACCACACACTGAATCTTTGTTAATCAATTCACTCTTTCATCTTCTGTGGTCGCTAAATGATCTGCATGGCAAAAGGCCCGTCTCATGAAAGATTCATGGATTACTCTGACGGCTTACCTTGATATCGTAATGGTCCTTAAGTCCATCTTCAACATGGTTTAAGAATTCAAAGATGTCAAGTCTATCAAGGCAGCTGTCTAAAAGAGTGTACATGCATTCAAATGCAGCCTTCCGGATATCCAGACCATCATCCACTGTGTGTTTGAACGGACCCATTTCAACCTAGAAAGAGGAAATTACACTGAGCTTTGAGGTTTGAAAAAGACAGTAAAGCATTAGGCTTTAGACAAAGGGCAGGTTACCTCTCTGATTAATTCTTTGCGCACTTTGGTCTCATTGTACAAATGAGGGAGAACTGTATCCAACAGGTCTCGAATAAGTGAAGGTTTGTTATGAGCTGCAGAGTTGAAGGTAACTAGAGCCACTCTTCGTACATTGAGGTCTGGATCTTCCAATGTTTTCAAGAAATCACCTAGAAGTATTTCAATAATATTACAATAAAAAAACAGTGCTAAAAAGTGTTCGACAAAATTCAAAATAGTGCAAATTAGTACTTGCCTATGCAGTTTTTAAGAAGAGGGTCAATTGTTTGTGGGTGATCAGAAATTGTGAATTTAACAGCTGTAACTACTGAGCTCCTGGCATAAGATGATCCTGGGGAGAGAAAGAACACCTCAATCAAAACTAGAGACTAGAGTAAGAATTATTTATATGTATATTTAAAAGTTTATGATATAAAGAAGTTTGAATTATCAGTGTTTGACGATCACCTGATAAGAGATAGCCTTTTAGCCTGGGCAGAAGAGTCTCTGGGTCGATAAGTGTTAACTTTCCCAGACATTCAGCTACCACGTTCCTTGTGCCTTCTTCTGTACACTCGCAGTGTTTTAGCAACAGTGCCCACACATTTTCTACATAGGGTTTGAGCCCTGCAACCGAGGCAGAGCTGATTATTTCCTTGAGAGAGTGCAACAGCAGGTACTGTCGCTTGGGCTGGCCAGAGATCTCTTGCAGGACAAAGGGCAGGTACTCCGGGAGGTTCCCCACGCTTATGCTGCCTAATGCATATGAAGCTGCCGACTTGACCTCTTCGCTAGCTGAAGAGAAGGCATCCAGGATGACCGTTTTCA